GACCAAAGATGAGTGGCACAGTGGAAGCCGCCAACAAGAATATTAAGAAGATCATACAGAAGATGGTTGTGACTTACAAAGACTAGCACGAGATGTTACCATTTTATCTTCATGGATATCACACTTCAGTGTGAACATCAACTGGGGAAACCCCATTCTCTCTGGTCTATGGCATGGAAATTTCCCTGCCCGTCGAAGTTCAGATTCCTTCTCTAAGGATTATGAAAGATGTAGACTTAGATGAAGACAAGTGGATTCAAACCAAGCTAGACCAGTTGAATCTGATTGACGAAAAGAGGCTTGCGGCTATCTGTCACAGTCAGATGTATTGGAAATGTATGATCAAGAAATTCAACAAGAAAATCAAGCATCAGGTATATCAGACTGACAACTTGGTAATAAAGCACATCATTCTATCACAAGGTGATCCCAGGGGAAAATGGACTCCCACCTACGAAGGGCCATTTTTTGTCAAAAAAGTATTTTCGAGCGGTGCTATGATACTGACCATCATGGACGGTGAAGATTTCCTGCACCCTTTGAATGTAGACATAGTCAAAAGATACTACGCATGAAAACGACCCACTAGGTTTGCTGGCCTAGGAAAAAATAATGGAATCTCGGCGAACCAAAAGGGTTCGGGAAAAAATTAGGGATATATATAAAATATTATACACCCGACAAGTCGAAAACCTGAAAAGGCGGCTTGCGCAAAAAAGGGTATCCTAATGGATTGAAAACCCGAAAGGGTGGTCCAGGAAAAAAAATTAAGGATTAAAGCATACGACTATGTCTCGTTGGATCACTTACAACAAGCTTTATTACCAAAGTCAAAAGTTCAAATGGTACAGATCAATTCAATCAACTTCTTCCGACAGCAGAGGATGAGATGTTCGAAGACATATGGGCAATAGTAGATTTGGAACCCAACGAGATCATTTCCACATAGCTATATGTTTTGTTTTCACTTTGTACTCTTTTCGTTTCATGACAGTTTCCTCCTACTAGGATTTATGTCTCTTTGTACAAAATCGTGTGTTTATGGGCAAACTATGAATACAAATACACCCAAAATTCAAGTTCTTTGTTTTTTATTTTTCTGTTTTGTTTGCAAAAACGTCCAATGACTAAAATTGAATGAACATATGCATATCAACACGATTAATTGTTAACAAATATATGCATAAGAACAAGAATAAGCATTTACTCAATAATATAGGAGTTGGGATGACGTTCAAGCTGTCCATAAATCCCCACAGAGCCACTTCTATGAGATTATCCACACAGAGTAATCTTCTCAAACAAACTTCAATAAAGATACATTCCTCGCAATTTCCCCAGTAGGTCACTCTGGCAGATAAAGGAGAATGATCTCATTCCTGAAAATATCACCAACCTACGGAGTTCCAATCAGTATAGTTCATGGGAGTTCTCTTCCCCACTGAGTTTATTCCTCCAAAAGTACATAACCCCTTGCAGATTTCTTCTCTCCAACAGAGCATGTTCCCTCAGCAGAGTATTTCTCCATCAACAAGGTTTATTTCCCCAACAAGGTTTATTTCGCCAATAGATTACAGTCTCCCCAGCTCGAGTCTATTCCTCAGATGGCTACAAATCATTGGCAAAATTCCTCTCCCTAGTGAAGTCGCCACTATCCCCATAGTGTTGCTACGAAACTTGGGACCAAACCAGATATCAGACAACTTTATCCTCACCAGACGAATTGGAAAGTTAACCATCTCGTTTATCCCTAGTCTGGGTATATAAGAATTATCCTCCCAGACGAGTCAGAAGCTTATCCATCTCTTTTATCCCCAGTCAGGGTATATAAGAATTAAACTCCCCAGACGAGTCAGAAGGTTATCCATCTCTTTTATTCCCAGTCAGGGTATATAATAATTAAACTCCCCAGATGAGTCGGAAGTTTATCCATCTCTTTTATCCCCAGTTAGGGTATATAAGAATTAAACTCCCCAGTAGAGTAATGAACGACTAATGTTCCTAAACTCTTCTCCCCAAATAAAAGTCAACACTTCCTAGCAGAATTTCCTCAAACAACAAGCAGGAATCCCCAGCGGAAGCATTCTAGACAAGTTTGAAGGTTACACATGTTCTTCATCCCCAACACCAATCATGGATTCATTTTCCTCAGCAAGATGTCATACGAAACTGTTGATACATTTCCAACAACATTTAACATTCATACATCATTTACTAATATCATAGCATATGCATATGAAACACATATAGCATAGTCTCATTTATTTTGAGAACATCATTACTGAAATTCTGGCTGCAGATACTCAATGTCACGTTCAATGTTATGACACCGTATCTGACTTTCTATAAGACAGTAAATACAAAAACAGTAAAGAACACAGTCAATTGTTTACCCAGTTCAGTGTGCAACAACACCTACTCTGGGGGCTACCAAGCCAGGGAGGAAATCCACTATAAGAGATATTAATTCAGGAATAAACCAACCAGTTTATCTCCTTCACTTAAGACCTACCCAATGCAACTTCAATCTAAGTACAACTTAAACCTGAGTTCCTACTCACTCCCCCTCAATCACAGCAGTGATACATAAAACAATTTGACTAATGAATTGATGAAGACACTCTTCAAAACATACACTTGATTATGCTTCACAGCTTTTTAATCAAGCAACACAAACACTCTTGCTTCACAGCTTTGAGTGATACACAAACCTAACTTGACTTTGCTTCACAGCTTTAGTCAAGAGACATACACACACTCTTGCTTCAAAGCTTTGAGTGATACACAACCCTTACAATTAAAACCTATTCCAAGTCACTTATCACAATGATAATTGCTTGGATTACAATAGTTAAAACTATACAGCTTCTAAATGATCTTCTGTCAAAAAGGGATGTATTCAAAACAGAAGCCCTGTTGAATATATAGCAGCTGCATCTTCAGTTAGGGTTTCCACAAAAAGCTAGGGTTAATTCCGTTTGTCCTTAAGACTAGGTCACAGGACTATATCAACCAGGTTGGGGTTGAGTTAGGTTAACCCAAAGAAAACGCAGGATTCTGTTCTGGAAAGACTGAGTCATTTTCCTGAAAAAACTCAGAATTAACCAAACTGCATACCTGTTAGTTCAGAACAGGATGTCTTAACATTTGTTATGACATATGAATTCCTGTTTACTGATTTTGGTAAATGTGATCATTTTGCAAAATGCTCAGATACACACTCATAAACATCAGTACCTGTATGACAATATTTTTCTGCAAAGGTACCTAATAAATCTGTACCTAATAAACTAGAATGTTATGACATCAGTCATGACATTCATACACCTGGTTTTACCAAAAATGCATGCCAATACCTAAACAACTACAAACTCCCCCTTTGGCAGATTTTTGGCTAAAGCCCCTAAGCAATCAGAGATAGATAGCAGCAGAATAAATATGACTGCAGAAAAATGGAATGTCAAATAAAGTCTACCAAAATATATCTCCCCCTTTTTAGCCACAAATGGGCCAAAGATACATGTTCTTAAAGATTATACAGTCATCCAGAAAAAGTAACACAACAAGACAAAAAACTGAACACACTTTGCAAACTCCACCAGGGACCAGCAACACCACCAACCAGCAACTCCACCAACCTTTAAGCACTGTCATCATCAGAGGAGCTAGTTTCTTCAGTATTGAGTTGATCTTCAGCTTCTGCACCCTCTTCCCTTCTGTTTCCTTCAGCTTCCTCCTTTTCTAACTTGGCAATTAGGTTTTCTAGGGTCTTTTTCCTAGCTTCCAGCTCTTTGCACACTACGCCAAAAATGATTTTTTGTATCACCTAATTTAATAGCACTTTTAAAAAAAATGCTATTAAAATGGAAAAAACACATTTATAATAGCACTTTTTAATCGGGCGCTATTATATAATACAGACTATGTAATTTTGATAGCACTTTGTACCAAAACGCTATTATTAAACTTCTTTAAGATAGCATTTTGTATAAAACGCTATTATTTGACTACCTATATAATAGCATTTATTAAAAAGCGCTATGTTATATATAATAATGAATTAATTAATTAATTGATAAAAAAAAAACATTGGTATTATTGGTATAAATTGGGGATTTGGCGCACAGAAGAGAAGAGAAAAAGAAGAAGAAGTTTGGAAAGTGAAAATCGAAAAGAATGGACGATTACACGAGAGAGATGATGGACCTCAAAACCCTCGTGACTCGCACTCTTGAGAAGAAAGGCGTTCTCGCTAGGATCCGAGTATTTCATTGTTCTTCTCCCTTTTCTTCATTTTTAGGGTTTTCTTATTCAGATCCATAATTTTCAATTCTTCTTCATGTTTCAGGCTGAATTAAGAGCTAGTGTCATCCCTTTAAAAGCTCAAGTTCCTCCTTGTGACGTCTTTTCCAAAAAAGTAATGTCCAATTTTTTGGGTAGTAGGAAGGTCACATCTCCTGATTATATCGATTATCGAATTAAAAGAGCAAAATGCTTACCACAATTTAAGAATATGGCTATTAGAGGACTTCAAGGAAATCTGATTGTTTCCAATGGTGCTATTGTGGGTCCTGATAGCTTAAATGGATCAGCTCATGTTGATTATCCATCTGGAGAGGCCGGATTTGGAGTCGGCGGCAATGGGAAGTTAGTGAATGGGAATACTTCTAGTTCTGGTAGCACAACAGTTAACGGATTTAGTCAAGGGGAATTGCATTACACGAGTAATGCCGATGTCTCCGGTATTGTAAATAATGATAATGTCACAACTAAAACTCAAATTGTTGAAGATGGTACAGTTAAGGCTCAGTTAAGTTTACATGATGAAGAATTGAGAACCATTGAAGGCGATATGTGTGCGTCGTCAACAGGAGTTGTAAGGGTGCAGTCAAGAAAAAAAGCAGAGATGTTCTTGGTTCGAACAGATGGATTTTTCTTGTACCAGAGAAAAGGTCACTGAATCTTCTTTGGCTTTCACTCATCCTAGCACCCAGCAACAAATGCTTATGTGGAAGTCTACACCAAAGAATGCGCTATTATTAAAAAAACTGGGGGATGAACTTTTGGAAGAAGCAAAAATGGTAATGATTTTCTTTGACTCTAATTAATGTATACATTATAATTTTTTACATATTTTTCTTCTTTCTATTATATAGAATACTTTGCAATTGTATAATTATGTTGCAAATATATATATATGATAGTTTTGTATAGGTTCTCATTCTCAATCCAGTTTCTATATCTAATCTGCAGGAAGCTATCGAAGAAGAAGATCGTGTCATCGAAAAGGATCAAGCTCTGCTTCCTGCATTGTTAGGTAGCTGTAACGATCGTGCTAAACAGCTTCACGCTTCTCCTTCTGGTAATTCACCTTTTTCATACTCATTTTCTGTTTATATGCTCTATAATTATGTTTTTTTTACCTAATTAGAATGTAATTTTGAGTTTGAATTACTTTAATTCAGTTATTTGCTACTATATATTCTCACACCTTTGTTGTATCCGATCCGACCTGTGCATTTTCATTCGCCTATTCTATTCTGCCTAATATGACTTATGTGTATTTATGTTTGGAGATGCTCCATTTTGAAATGTTTCTTTTTTGGTATTCACTATGCAGGTAGACTTCTTACTGCACTGGTATGTGAATACCTTGACTGGGCACAGCTTATTTGGTGTAGTGTAGGGACGCCATTCACCGCTACTACTGAAGCCGGTACTTCATCAGCTTTAAGCTCAGATCCTGGAACTTCACCGTTCTGTATTCCAGAGATGAATGGTGAGACGAAGAGAGAAGAAACCATTAAGGAAAGTCATGAACTTTGTGATACATCAGACACAGAAAGTGAAAGTCTGTCGACATCTTCGGCTAGCTTTAGATACCAACCGTGGATCACAGAATTGCTTTTACATCAACAATCATCTCAACGCAACGGAGAAAGATCAGAGGTGTATCATGGTATGCCTCAGGCAACTACAACCAAGGCTTTGCTAGAAAAGTATTCTAGGCTTGATAGAGGAGCTGGAATGGAAATGTCGGCAGCATATAGAAATGACTCGGATTTTAGTGGTAATTTAAGAGAAGCGATAGCATTATCAGGAAATGCTCCACTTGGTCCACCTCCATTGTGTTCGATATGTCAACACAAGGCACCTGTTTTTGGAAAACCTCCAAGGTGGTTCAGCTATGCTGAGTTGGAACTCGCTACCGGGGGATTTTCACAAGCCAACTTCTTGGTAGAAGGAGGGTATGGATCGGTTCATCGAGGGGTTCTACCAGAAGGACAAGTCATTACTGTCAAGCAACATAAATTGGCTAGTTCTCAAGGTGATGTCGAGTTTTGCTCTGAAGTAGAAGTCCTGAGCTGTGCTCAGCACCGAAATGTTGTTATGCTGATTGGATTCTGTATAGAGGATAAGAGAAGGCTTCTGGTTTACGAGTACATATGCAATGGATCATTGGATTCACATTTATATGGTAGTTGCAATATAATATTGAATTCATGGAACTGATACCATTTTGATTCTATATTGATCTAATACTTTGTAATATTTCAGGGCGACAAAGAGATCCATTAGAATGGTTTGCGAGGCAGAAAATTGCTGTTGGAGCTGCTCGCGGGTTAAGGTATCTTCACGAAGAGTGCAGAGTTGGTTGTATCATCCACCGCGACATGAGGCCGAACAACATTCTCATAACTCATGATTTTGAACCTCTGGTAGGGTAGTTCTTTGCCTTCATTTCTTACAACAAAAGACACCATTATCATTACTTCATTATTGCATAGTTCTTTGCACATTTCAAATTCTAACTGTATTGAATTGTGCTGAAATATGCAAGGTTGGTGATTTTGGATTGGCAAGGTGGCAACCTGATGGAGACATGGGTGTGGATACTAGAGTAATTGGAACATTTGGGTACGCTTTATATTGATCTTGATTCTGTTTCATTGTTTCATTGTCAAACATGTGTATGCGATAGGAGATTAAAACCAAGAATGTAGTGTTGTCTAACTTTTGTCTATAATCACTCATTTTTAATTTAGTATATCAATTTTTACACTTGATAAGTGCTATGTGAGATATACTAATTTTATGTTCTGTTTTGTAACTGTGATATGTCCTATAACTTATAGCATGTCTATGTCATGTTGTATTATCATGCTTCTTAGATTGTAACTAAGCTGTTGTATGTGTAGGTATTTGGCTCCTGAATATGCTCAAAGCGGCCAAATCACCGAAAAAGCCGATGTTTATTCCTTTGGGGTGGTATTGGTGGAGCTTGTTACCGGTAGAAAAGCTGTCGATCTCACTCGGCCAAAGGGACAACAGTGCCTAACTGAGTGGGTAAGTTAAGATTTCAGTGTGATATAGGTTCTCTTTGGATAAATAACCTAAGTATGCCGTTAATGTTCATGCTTAACCTTGAATAATTGTATAAATATTTTAACATTAAACAGGCCCGGCCACTGTTAGAAGAATATGCCATTGACGAACTGATTGACCCGAGACTTGGACGTCTCTATTTAGAACATGAAGTCTATTGCATGTTGCATGCTGCTTCATTATGCATAAGGAGAGATCCTCATTGTAGACCACGCATGTCACAGGTAAACAAAGTTCTCAACCTATCTTCTTTTTTTTTGTCACCACATTGTTTGTTTTCAAGAATCAATGGTTGCATAGCTTTTTCAAATTTTCCTAAAAAGATAAGACGGACATCCTACAGAGTCAATGGAAAAGTTCACGATAATTAAGAATTGGACCACTTCCACTTTAGTAACTTTTTTAGAGCGGATATTTCTAATAATATAAAAATTTTACAATCATGCACTCGGTGTAAATATTTTCACGGAATCATATCTCACATTGTAGATGTTTGTGTAAAACATTTATACGCTGTCAATGAATGACTAATAAATTTACGATATAATATGCTAACTACACTTGGTTGTTTATTCAAGGTTCTCCGAATTCTAGAGGGAGACATGGTGATGGACACAAATTACATTTCAACTCCGGGCTATGATGTCGGAAATAGAAGTGGTCGCATTTGGTCAGAGCCACTGCAGAGACAGCATCATTACAGCGGTCCCCTCTTAGAAGATTCATTAGAGTCATCATTCAGTGGAAAGCTATCTCGTGACAAGTACAAACCTTTCTATTGGGATAGGAGTAGGGACAAGCCTTAACAAGAGAACACAATCGAAGTTTTATACCGTGGCTAAAAGAACACATTTTTTCAGAATTTGCTAAAAATCCTGATTCAATTTCAGAAAGATTGAGATGGCTAGCAAATGGTCCAAATTCAAATGTTCTATCGTACTCTGGTTATATAATTAACAAGTATACATTTTATACAGAAGAACATGATCATCAAAGCACTGTGCAAAATAGCAGTGTCACACTCGTAGCTGAATCTGTGCATATCTCAAGTTCCAAAAATAGAAATCCCGCATTTTCCAAATTGTCATATTTTGGGGTCATTGAACGTATTTGGGAATTGGATTACTCATGCTTTCAAGTGCCCGTGTTTGGTTGCAAGTGGGTTGACAATAACAAAGGCCTTCAAGTTGACCCTGGGTTCATGAAGGTCGATCTTAATAAAGTGGGTTGACAATAACAATGGCCTTCTATATGTTATGATATTTGGAAACAATAGGATTTGGTAATTTAAAATGTTATTTGGTATTTGATGGATCATAATATATATGCAATGAGTAACTTAAAGCGTTATTTGTGTTGAATTGAATATAGTTATTTTATATTTACACCAAAAAAAATGATTGTGTAAGAAAAAATATTGTACTGTACTTATTAAAAATATTGTACCAAATATGTACTATTTATTAGCACTTTATTTGAAAGCGCTATCAAACATATGTTATATATTAGCGCTTTTTGTTTAGAGTGCTATAAAAAAACAAACAAAAAACATGCAAAATACTGACTTTGATAGCACTTTAATTAAAACGCTATTATAAATTGGTACTTTAATAGCGCTTTTAAAGTGCTATTAAATAAGAAATATTTACAATAGTGGCGCGGTTAATAGCACTTTTAAGCGCTATCAAAAACAAAAAAAAGCGCTATTAAATAGCTTATTTGGCGTAGTGGCAGGTCTCTTTCAATACAGCTATAACATCAGATGTTTTGGACTGAGTCTTTACAGATGATGTCTCAGCTGATGTTATGACAATATCAGGAGCATGAGATCCCTGAAACAGCTTGTAGTGTAACCCAAGAGCAGGAGCTCTTTTGCAAGCAGTATCTCTTGCCACCAGGATATCAGGGTATTGTGCAAGGATAATTCCACAAAGGAGGGAGGGAAAGGCAATTGGTCCTTTGACAGCATAACTACCAGCATGTTTTAAAGTTTGTTCAAAGACATACCTGCCATAGTCAAAAGCAGTCTTGGTTCCCACAACATAAATAAATCTCCCCAATCCCGTGGAGATAGTTGATTTATGGTTTGTAGGGACCCAGTTGGCTGCACCAATCTTGTGCAGGATGGAAAATTTCATGCTAAGTTTGCTGGCATTCAGCTTGCCTTTCAAGGGCCAGCACTTCACTTGTTTTGCTGTGATGGTTTGACAAACATCATTGTCAGTGACTTCCAGTTCAGGACAATCCTCATTTGATCTTCCAAGAAATTTGTTAATTTCTGATGGAGAGAAATTAACCCTTCTTCCTCTAACATAAACACTTTCAAAGTCAGCTGACCTTCCATCAGCACACTCATTAGACAAGTTAACTATGAACTCCTTGACCAGATTTTCATAACACTTGGTAAATTTTATCACTGTCTTCATCAGTCCAGCATTCTTAATCAGGTCTATGATGTCCTTGCACTCCATGGCATCATTGTTTAGCTCTCTTTCTAAAGCTATTCTCTTCAAGCAAACATACTTCCATCTGTTTGCATTGTCAGGATGATGAAAAGAGATGTTGTCTGTTGGGACTTCAGGAACTCTAGCAATTTTGCTGGAGGGGAGCTTCCTTCTGATAGGAATTTCTTCAGCATCAATCTCAAACTCTGATTCCTCATCAGAATCAGAAGATTAAGGTTCTTTTCTCTTCTTTGTAATTGGTTGTCTACCAGTATGCACCTGGGCTTTCACCTTCCCTTTGGACTGAACAGTTTTCACAGATTCTACCCCAGCCATGCCTTCAGCCTTGGATTTCTTATTAGCAGGTTTATCTTTTGTCATACATTTTCCAGCATTCTGATTATCCTTCCTTTTCATCATTCTCCTAGCTATGCTAGGGTTTACATTGGCAATCAGATCATTGTCTGAGTATTCCTCATCCACATCAATGATAGGTGGATCAACAGTCTTCTCTGAAGGATTCTGAATGTTGTCATTTTGTGTCACAACATTCTCAAAGACATCTACATTTGGGCTTGCTGATTCTTGATTTAATGGGACAAAAATCCTCGGTACAGGTTGGTTTCCGCTTAGTATACTAGTAACAAGCCTAGCAATAGCTTGATGAACTTGAACTGATCCTTCTCTATTTGGTACAGAAGAAGAAGGATGAGAAGGATTACCAGAGGCAGCAGCTTGAGCTCTTCCTGCATGCCTAGTTCTCAACTTTTTGACTTTGGCGGGGTCAGTTGCCATCTCTCTGAGAGGAGTGATCTCAAGGACTTCAGATTCTATGCATGTGGTGATTGCTCGAGAGTCTTGGTCAGATGATGAAGATGAAGAGGTCGCCTTGGTTGAAGATGATGTTTGAGACATTTTGATTGACTTAGAGCACCAGTAGCAATTTGAGAGAAAACTTTGATTGAGAGAAGGGAACAGGTTGCAAAGTCGAGAGAGGTAGGAGGCAAAAGAGAGTCTTTTCAACTTCTTAAACATTTTGAAAGAATTGGGAAAACATATGATTAACCCACTAAAAATAGACTTAACAAAATTAACTCCTTCAACCCTTGTTTTAAGCAAAATTAATTGCTATAATTTCTCATGTTGGCAAATACCCAACCTGCCCCTCAAGTTTTCAAGTTTATTTCCAACAAGAGCCTTGGTAGAAGAATCAGCCAGCTGAAGCTTAATGATACCATGTTCCAGTTTAATTGACTTCTTCTCTACAAAGTCAATGTGCTTGGTCCTGCTATGCTGAATAGGGTTCATGGAAATATTGATTGTATTCAGATTGTCACAATACAATGTCACAACATCTTGTGAGACATTATACTCAGTGAGCATCTGTTTTGTCCAGATATTTTGAGAACAGTTACTACTAGCTGCAACCATTTCAGCACAGAGTTGGGAAGGCATTCTTTTGACATGAATCATAGTTCTAGTTGATTCTTGAATGATCTTATTTTTCTTTTTGTCAACTCCATTTAGATGGTGAGTTATAGGAGAAGAGACTTCACGACTCATTTCTTCTGGGAAACAGAATTTATTAGACTTGTTGTTTCCAAAATCCTTGTCATGATTACTTCTGGTTCTGACAACACATCCTTCTTCAAGTTTATTCACCACATCATAGACATGTTTCTTTTTACCAAGCCTTTCAATTTTAAGTTCACCACAAACCCTTCTTTTATCAATCTGTAGTCTTGGAGTCCTTCTGACTGCTTCCATAGAGATAGCTCTTTTCATTCTTCTTAGATGAAGATGACCAAGCTTATGGTGCCACAGTTTCATCTCTTTTTCTTCTTTGGTAATTGGACACATAGTGGAGTTATTAGTGTTCTCAGGCTGCCACAAGTAACAGTTATCTTTGGATCTGATTCCTTTCATTACAACTTCTAGTTTTTCATTAATTACTAGACATTCAGATTTTGAGAAGTTGACTTTGAATCCTAGATCACACAATTGACTGATACTAATGAGATTAGAAGTCAGCCCTTTTACCAGCAGTACTTCACTCAGTCTTGGAACTTCAGGGCAGTCCAAATTACCAACTCCTTTGATTTCACCTTTAGCACCATCTCCAAAGGTCACATAACTAGTGTTGTGAGGTTTAACATGATTGAGAATGTTCTTTATTCCAGTCATGTGTTTAGAACACCCACTGTCAAAGTACCAGCCTTCCTTTGCAGACACTCTCAGGGAAGTGTGGGCTATCAGGGCAGTAGCCTTTTTCTTCCATTGAGGAGTATGTGGTACCCTTTTTGACTTAGGTTTAACACCTGAGTGTTGATTAGGGTATCCATGCAATTTGAAGCAGAAGGGCTTTATGTGTCCATACCTCCCACAATGATGACATCTCCATCTTTGGTACTTTTTCTTCATATATTTCTGTTTCTGATGTTGAGAATTGTGTTGAGACATCTGCTTTGACATTTGTTTATCAGGCCTGATCTTCTTATCTGTACCAGATTTCTTTGCTTCCACAAATCCTAGTCCAGATTTATTTCCCACATTTTGTCCAACCTGAAGGATCTCTTCCAATTTGTCATTTCCATTAGTCAGCATCTTGACAGATTTGGTCATTTGATTTAGTTGTGATTTTAGCAATTGAACTTCTCCTTCTAGATGACTTATAGTTTCAAGGTTTGCCCTTTTTTCAGCCTCCAGCTTTATGATGAGTTTTGATTGTTTCTCATTCTGCACACAGACTTCAGCACTTCTGATACACAATTTCTTGTAAGTATCAGCCAGTTCTTCAAATGTCACTTCTTCATCACTAGTGTCACTTTCAGAGGTACAGACACCAGTTAGAGCAGTAACTAGTTTGGCAGATTCTTCTTCAGAATTACTTTCTGAATCACAGTCAGACCAAGTAACAGTCATTCCTTTCTTTTGTTTCTTAAGAAAGGTAGGACATTCAGCTCGAATATGCCCATATCCTTCACAGCCATGGCATTGAATTCCTCTGCCTTGATTTCCCTTCTCTTCTGACCTTGGTCTTCTGCTGGAACTGTCAATGTCAGAGGGAATGTTATGAACATTAGACCTTGACTTTGGATCTATTCTTTTGATGAGTTTGTTGAACTGTCTTCCAAGCATGGCTATAGCTTCTGAAATATTTTCTTCTTCATCCTCCTTGTTTTCAACATCAGTGTTGGATACAAGTGCTATGCTCTTGTTCTTCTTGTCACCATTTTCAGTGATCCCCATCTCAAAAGTCTGAAGAGACCCAATTAGTTCATCCACTTTCAACTTGCTGATGTCCTGGGCTTCCTCTATGGCAGTTACCTTCATAGCAAATCTTTTAGGCAAGGATCTGAGAA